CATAATAGCGGCGATAATGTGAGACAACGCGAACAACAGCACAGCCGCCGACAAGTGGTGACCACCAGTTGCGAAGGTGTGAGCGATCCGGTGATCGAAGAGCACTTCCGACGCTCGTTAGGCAAAGAATACCAGCAACTGTTCGCCTCATCGGCTACCGGTGCTGACGGCTCGGCCGGCGCCGACTCCGCCAACAATAACTCCATTACATATTCGGGTAATTATTTTAGTTATTAAATGTTGTTTTATGTTTAGTATTGTTGTTGTTATCAATGATCTAATGGTATGTTTGTATGTCTTGTAGTGGACGACCACTTCGCCAAAGCGTTGGGCGACACATGGATTAGACTCCAGAAGACGGAGACATCGCAACAAAATAATGCTCAGAGTATTGCTTCATAAATACGCCACGAATACAATGAAACTAATAATACAATACATTATGACCTCTCGTTTAGTGGATTCCCCCCATAATAACGGATACAATAATATAAATACTGTTTTTTATAGTATATTATAATTAATTACTTTTAATTTGATTTGTTTTTTCTTATATTCAAATGTAATGATAATAATTGACTGAAAAAATGATACAAAAAAATAATAATAATTTTTTTAGTAATATATACTGTAATACTGTGTTATAAGATAAGAAACACTGTTTATTGATTTTAATTGTCTGTAAGTTTTTTTTAATTATAATAATTATTATTATTAAATGTTATATATATGTAATTATTAGGAAAATAATAATTAATAATATAAAAATATATATAAATATTTTGCGTGTATTTTAATTACATTCCTATGGATTACTTGACATATAATTAATTAAATAATTAGCGGTTCCGTGAGAGTGGTTGCGCGGCCTATAGATGGTCACCATTGGGTGGTCACAGACTAGACACACAACGAGCCCAATGGTGCGGTACGGGTGGCGGCGGTCACTGCTCGCCGCCGTCATCGGAGTCATCGCTGAGAACCCATATGTCGTGCAATTGTGTTTCGTTATGTAATTCAGTCAAACCGGTCAACCGTTCGACGTATTGGCTATCGTTGAACGCCTGCAGTAGAAACTCGAACCCATTGTCGTCGTAGGCGTTGATGATCTGATCCAAAGGCAAGAAGAGAGTACACAAAATGTTAGTTTCATTTTTCTATATTGGGTGACAATTTTGCGGTGTCTTTGCGGTGACGTACGGCTCGGGAACAGGCGCTGCATTGGGTGAACCGTTCGCTTGTGATCATCAACTGCTGAAAACGGGACAGAAAGCCTCGGATCTGATGCGGCACAAGACCTAACGCCGTCTCTGTGTCCTCGTCCACGGCGTCGGTATACTCGTCGCCCCTTCCGCTCACTATCAGTGCCGGCGCTTCGCCACTAAAAACACCAAATAATACAATCATTTCATATGTTTTACTCATTATTATTGGCTAATAGTTGTGATAATTACCGCATCGGGTGCTGCAGTACAGACACCATGAGCTCGACGGCGAGCGCGGAGGCCAGCATCGAGACGCCCGGCCGCGTGACAGTGCACTGTTGGTCGAGGGTTCGGTCCCGAGTCGACTATTGTAGGCATCAAAACAGGCCATCAATTAAACAACAAAAAAACTTATAATTAATTGCATATTAATTATACCATTTATTATTTTGCATGTAATTTAAAGACCGGTTTTTGTTTGAGTTATTTGTTTGCTCTGACTTTCAAAGTCAAAGTCATGGCTCCGTATCGCCAGAAATGGCAAAAAAAAACTTTTTAGTTTTTTGTATGTATTTTATTGTTCATTACATTAATTATTATATTAAATAAATATTAAAATTCTTTTACACTAATCATTCAGTTTGTTGTCAGAGAGAGAGAGAGAGAGAGAGAGA